GTAATATCTATATATATATATATATATATATATATATATATATATATATTTTATTCTAGTTCTATCATAATTCAATCAAACAAACAATTTACATAAAATCTAATAATAGATCTTTTGTGCTTGACAAATCCCACTGAGTTCATTTTCACATTTTAGAAAATAAAAATAAAAATTCAACCACATTTAAAAGAAAGCAATGCAATAATCATTTACAACCCCTTCTAACATTCTCCTCTGCAACGAAAAAATAGAGGAAGGAGAAACTACCAAATGGCCACCAAATCGTCCACTGAATCCAAAGAAGAAGGCGCCGATACGTCCAACTCGCCTTTCATTTGGGCGGCGGAGAAAGCCACCGGAGCTTCATTGGAGAAACTCTGCATCGACGAGATACTGCAGAAGTATTGCGGCGAGTTCGGGCGATGGCAACTGAGGCACTTCGTGCTCACCAGTCTGGCGTGGGCCTTGGAAGCCTTCCACACGATGGTCATGATTTTCGCCGATCGCGAACCAGAGTGGCGGTGCCTCGACGGCGCGGCCGATTGGGAATGCGACCCGAGCGCCAAAAGCGTGTGCGGGTTCGAACCGGGTTCGTGGGAGTGGATGGGGGACTCAACCGTTGTGGAGTGGGGGTTGTTTTGCGCGGGTAAGTTTAAGGTCGGGCTGGTTCAGGCCGTCTTCTTCGGCGGCTGTATGATCGGTTAGTTTTCTCTCTCAATGTTTACTGTTTCTCTCTCAACTGTCGTGTAAGATGTATCTTATGTTATAATTACCATAATTTCAGCAAACATAAATACAATAAAATACAAATTATGTAAATTGCTTTTATTCCTAGTTTTTAAACTTTCGTAATAATTAATTATCTATAAAAAATAGATATTTATATTCTTTAAGTAAGGTTTGGATTTTGGTCCAAGGTTTTTAGAGTCACTATTAAAAGGGGTTAACTGGATAATGAATAAAGGTCTTAAACTAGTTTTCTAAAAAACTAATATTCATTTTTATCATTATGAAATACTGAAAGCTTTACCAATACTCTTTTAGATATATGTTTCTATAAAATATCTAAAACTATAAAAATCAAACATAAATTGTAGAAACATTATATTTTAGGGTGATAAACGAAAATTGTCCCTTTTATAAATAGTTTCCTCAGAGAGATTGGAATAATAAGAATTATATACTAATGCCTAAAAGCATGTTTTTTTTATTTGAATAGGGAAATTTTAATTAATTAAAATATAAATATTTCATATTAATAATATATAAAAATTAAACTCCTAGAAAAGAAGGTGAGGATAAATGTAATCATAATAATAGGTACTTAGATAACATTTGCAAGAGAATTTAACGCCATTTGTCTTTTATTATGTTCTCACCTCTGCATGTGCAGCAGTCAGAAAATATATGTCTTTGTTTTGCCATTCTTATCTTTGTTTTCTTCATCTCTAGCTAGAGTTCGAATCTTTAGCACCCTCCAACACAATTCAAATAACAAAAACAAGTAGATAAGAATACAGAGTATAGCTTCAAACCCACATTGCAAAGGAAAAAAAAAAGTCTACAAATAGGTCTAACAAATAAAAGGAGTAATGGGGTACATGTATATATTTCTTTGAATATAAACACATTTCAACTACTTTTATTTTATTTCTTAATATTTTCTTAAGAATATCTTAAACTTTTATTAATATCTGAACATTAGTTACATTATACCATTTGTACATTTTATTTATTTATATGACATTAATGAGAACATTTAAGAAGAGTCAAAAAACAATAATAATAATTTTTCATTAAATCGAATCTAAATGTAAAAACAAATAACTACAATTCATCCCAGGAAAGAGCAGCAAAAGGCCATGTCATAACACAACCCGCCAATTTGTACGCTACGACAAGCTGTTCTGGTGAAGCACTGTCGCTGCCAAATTCCTCGGCAACAAATATTCCTCACAGAAACGTGGTATTTTCTAAAATAATATTATAAAAAAAGAAAATGTTAGGGTGGCATTCTTGAAGGAGGAACAACAACAGTACAAATAAATTTAATACCACGTGTTAAAGTGTGTATTGTAATATTTTCAATATTTTATTTGTACGTTTATAATAATTATTAAACATTAAAATAATTGTTTGGAGAGATTTGCATTTCCTCCCTACCCATTTCACTACTTTTTATTAAATTTCCTAAACAATAAATCAAGCTTTATTACAAATGACTCTACCTTATCCATGCAAATACAGCCAAAATAGCAATTAGGTACCGGATGTTGCAAAGATTCTTAAACCTCAAATTGCCATTATGGATAATCAAGCTCATATCGAATTACACTATTTACACATATAGAGTCTTAGTTCCTCCTAATTTAACTTTTATATGGAAAAAAATTGTTTATAATAGTCGAGAATTACGTAATTTTAGCTTCTAATTAAAGATCTTGTTACTAGCTATGGGCATACATCATACCTATAGGTGTACATCAGCAAGCTAAGGGAAACTTTCGATGGCGCAAGAAAGCATTCTAAGACCGTTCGGTCCCGACAACAGTTAAGCAGAGTTAATGTGCAGTTAATGTGACAACGACTATTGTTAAACAATTAAGGTTTGCATTAATGACCATTAAGAGATAAATTAATTGGTCAGATTCCTTTAAACTCTATAAATAAGGGTTTAATTTTGAGGTAAACTCACCTTTGACTCGCTATTAAATTACAAAAGGCCTATACGGAAAAATTATTACTTGAGCGCCAGAGTGTCTTCTACAGGTCACCCCCACACGTCGATCGGTTGTCTGGAGCAAGGAAGACGTTCGCCAATCGGTTAGCTGGAGCAAGAAGGATGTTCGGCACACAAGACTTTCGGACAGACGGTTATCCTCATCCCATTTCAGCAGAAACATTTTGGCGCCCATCGTGGGGCCGAGGATTTTCGAAGACACCCTAACAAGACCATAAGGATGGCTCAAGACCCAATGGCATTTATGTAGGAGATGTAGAGAAGGATGAAATCCGTGCAGACTGAAATTGAAACTCTGAGGGTCAAGTGGGATGCAACACTTAGGGACTACGACGCGGGGCGAAGGGCCCGTCAAATCAAAGGTCGGTTGCACCCACTCGGACTCCCATAGTGGAATTCCCAAATTCTGATAAGGAAGACACTAATCAGGGGGAGAACAATTCCAGGAGTCGTCCCGCTTGCCCGGGTAATGTCGCTCGGACCACGACGCTTCACCCATTTACAGCTGCAATTATGGAGGAGCGAATTCTAGATAGGATGCTTCCTGCTCTTGAAAAGTATAATGGCAATCTAAGGTCGTTTATGGATGTCATGGCAATCTATTCACCCAAACAAAAGGTTTGGTGCAGGGTTTTCTCCCTATCGGTTAAAGGAGAAGCTTTGGCATGGTTTCACTCTCTTCGTCCCAAAACTGTTGACAGTTTTATGACTTTGAGACGCTTGTTTGAGTGACAGTTCGCTTCCAGTAAGACGCAAGACCTTACCTATATGGAACTAACTAAAATCAAATAGAGGAAAGATGAAGACTTGAGGGACTTCACGGACCGATACAACTGGACCGCACGACAAGTGAAGGGTGTTGGCAAGGAGTTCATACAACAAACTTAAGGTCGTGCTCCTTTGCAGATAGCTTATTTGCTTGGCCACCTTAAACCCTGGGAGAAGTGCAGGAGAGGCCTTCTTTGTTCATTCGAATCAGGGAGATGCGGGTTGTCCAAAAGAGGTAGCATGAAGAGAATGCTTCACCCTCAGCAGGCCAGGAATAGAGATGAGTCTTCCACTTGACATGTTTCAATTAAAAAATTATGATGTATTCTCAATGCTGCTATAATAATATTAAAGGATTTTCATCACAATATTGAGCATGTTATATGAAATGGTTAGGACCTAGGGAACGTTCCAAGTGAACTCCTAATGTCCACTGAACGGTGAGGAACACTTTTGTAGCTCTCACCTTAGCATTTTCGACCTAGGGAACGTTCCAAGTGAACTCATAATGTCGATCGTTCGGTGCTCGATGAGGAACGGTTATGTAGCTCTCACCTTAGCATTTTTGACCTAGGGAACGTTCCAAATGAACTCCTAAGGTCGATCGTTCGATGATCAGTGAGGAACGCTTCAGTAGCTCTCACTCGAGTATGTTCAACCTAGGGAACGTTCCAAGTGAACTCCTAGTGTTGACCGTTCGATGCTCGGTGAGGAACGCTTCAGTAGCTCTTACTCGAGTCTCTTCAACCTAGGGAACGTTTTAAGCGAAGTCCTAGTGTCACCCGCTCGGTGAGGAACGCTTCAGTAGCTCTCACTCGAGTCCTTTCGACCTAGAGAACGTTCCAAACGAACTCCTAGTGTCGACCGTTCGGTTCATAGTGAGGAACACTTCAGTAGCTCTCACTCGAGTCTCTTCAACCTAGGAAATGTACCAAGTGAACTCCTAGTGTTGACCGTTTGGTGCTCGGTGAGAAACGCTTCCTTAGCTCTCACCTTAGCATTTTTGACCTAGGGAAACGTTTCAAGTGCACTCCTAGCGTCCATCGAACGGTGAGGAACGCTTCCGTAGCTCTCACCTTAGCATTTTTTACCTAGGGAATGTTCCAAGTGAACTCCTAGTGTCGACCGTTCGGTGCTTTGTGAGGAACGCTTCAGTAGCTCTCACTCAACTCTTTTCGGCCTAGTGAATGTTCCAAGTGAACTCTTAGCGTCAATCGAATGGTGAGGAACACTTCTGTAGCTCTCACCAAAGCATTTTCGACCTAGGAAACATTCCAAGTTAACTCCTAGTGTCTATTGTTTGGTGCTCGGTGAGGAACGCTTCAATAGCTCTCACTCAAGTCTTTTCCACCAAGGGAATGTTCCAAGTGAACTCCTAGCGTCGACCAAACGGTGAGGAACACTTTTGTAGCTCTCACGTTAGCATTTTCGACCTAGGGAACGTTCCAAGTGAACTCCTAGCGTCGAATGAACGGTGAAGAATGCTTTCGTAACTCTCACCTTAGCATTTTTGACCTTGGGAACGTTCCAAGTGAATTCCTAGAGTCTACTGCTTGGTGAGGAATGTTCTTCATGAACTCTCACCTAAGTATTTTTGACTTAGGGAATGCTTTCGTAGCTTCTATTGTCTGCCACTCGGTGAGGAACGCTTTCGTAGCTCTCACCGAAGCCTCTTCGACCTAGTGAGCGTTCTAAGTGAACTCCTAGTGTCCCCCGCTCGGTGAGGAACGATTCAGTAGCTCTCGCTCGAGTCTCTTGGACCTAAGGAACGTTCTAAGTGAACTCCTAGTGTCGCTCGCTCGGGGAGGAACGCTTCTGTAGCTCTCACTTGAGTCTCTTCAACCTAGGGAACGTTCCAAGTGAACTCCTAGAAAGTTCTCTTAACTTTTACCTTAATCTGACCGTTTGGTGAAGAACGTTCTTTGTGAACTCTCACTAAATGAACTCCTAGAGTCACCGCTCGGTGCATAAAAGAGTAGGGACTTAAGGTGCATCAAAGATACTCATCAGGCCGATGGACCGAGCGAATAAGCAATTCACAACTTTGTCAACTGATCGACGTAGCTTCATAAACCCTACGCATAACTAAGATTATGCTAGGGCTTGGGGGGCCTATGTTACTATGGGCATACATTAGACCGATCGATGTACAACAACAAGCTGAGTGGAAAGGACCGAGCGGTCGATGGCGCAAGAAAGCATTCTAGGACCGTTCGGTCCCAAGAACAGTTAAGCAGAGTTAATGCGCAGTTAATGTGACAACAACTACTGTTAAACAGTTAAGGTTTGCATTAATGACCATTAAGAGGTAAATTAATTGGTCAGATTCCTTTAAATTTTATAAATATGGGTTTAATTTCGTGGTAAACTTACATTTGACTCACTATTAAATTACAAAAGGCCTAGAGACAAAAATTCTGACTTGAGCGTCCGAGTATCTTCAATAGGTCATCCCATACACCGATCGGTTGTCTGGAGTAAGAAGCAAGGAGGACGTTCACCGATCGGTTAGCTGGAGCAAAAAGGATGTTCGACACACATAACTTTTGGAAGACGGTTATCCTCGTCCCATTTCAGCAAAGATCTTAATTTTCTAATTTTCTTAAAGAAACCGATCTTATTTTTCTTGAATATGAGAACTAAAGAAAATAATTTATAAGTATTAAATGAAAAATGTCGTATTTTTAAGTTTGATGAAAAACGTAATTTTGGATAAAATGTAGGAAAATGCAACAAGTGTTATTTTTTAATGGTATTAATTTCATTTTCACAATTAACAGGTAATGTAACATCTGTTAGCAATAATTTCAGGTGCTGGAACATTCGGTCACCTTTCAGACTCAGTGCTCGGAAGAAAAGGCTCTCTCACAGTGGTTTGTGCCCTAAACACCATTTTTGGCACCTTGACAGCCTTCTCCCCCAGCTACTCTTTCTACATCTTCTTTCGCTTCCTCACTGGTTGCAGCACCGGTGGCGTTGGTCTCTGCGCCTTCGTCCTCGCCACCGAGCCAGTGGGTCCCAGTTCCCGCGGCACCACCGGCATGTGCACCTTTTACTTCTTCTCCTCCGGCATCGCGATGTTATCTGTCATCGCCTACATCTTTCCAACGTGGCGAAAACTCTATATAGCCTCTTCCATCCCCTCCCTCCTCTTCCTTCTCTTCATCCTCCCCTTCATTTCAGAGTCCCCGAGATGGTACCTCATTAGAGGAAGAAAATCCGAAGCAATGAAAGTCATCACTGCCATGGCTACCACCAACGGTACTCACATCCCAAAAGGGGTTCGTCTAATTCTAGACCATCAATCACCACAATTACCACCACCACCACTGTCATCCTTATCATGCAACAGCATTCAAGAACAGGTATTAGCAGAGGTCAACTCCTTAAGCGAGTCCCAAAATCAAGAGAAATTAGTCTCTGATTCTATCCTTCTGGGCTCACCCAAAGGATCGACATGCCACGCGGCGGTGGCTGGTTCGCTTGTCGACGTGATACGCTCGCCAATGACACGTTCGAGGTTGATCCTAGCCGTGGTCATCAATTTCCTATGCTCCGTTGTGTACTACGGCTTGAGCCTCAACGTGGTCAACCTTGAAACCAACCTCTACCTTACTGTGATACTCAACGCCGTGGCGGAGATGCCGGCTTTCATGATAACAGCGATTTTTCTGGACCGGTGGGGGAGGAAGCCGTTGACCATAGCGACGTTATGGTTCAGTGGCGTGTTCTGCTTTGCTGGGAGTTTGGCGAGAAATGTTGGGGTGTGGAAGGGTGTGAGAATGATGTGTGGGATTTTGGGAATTTTTGGAATGGCGGGGACCTATAATCTGCTGTTCATATACACGGCGGAGCTGTTCCCGACGGTGGTAAGGAACGCTGCGCTCGGGTGCGCCACGCAGGCGGCGCAGATGGGTGCGATACTGGCGCCGCTGGTCGTCGTTATTGGTGGATCGTTTCCGTTTATGATTTTTGCTCTGTGTGGACTTGGTGGTGGATTTTTCGCATTTTATCTGCCGGAAACATTGAACCAGCCTCTTTATGATACGCTAACGGGAATGGAGGCTACGGAAAACAGCGTTACCTCTTCCATTGTATGACGGTGCTTTCATTTGTGGATTTTTTTGTGCTACAGTTTTCTCTTTTCAAGGTGTTGTTTATAACAGTTTTTTGTTTCGGTTGCAATCTGTGTATGAGTTTTGTTTTTCATATACTTTATCGATGTTTTTATCATCGTAATCATCATTTTGATTGTTCTTTTAGATGTTAATGTTACTTGCTTAGAAAAAAAACAAAAACGAGTGTAAGAGTTTTGATACTGTGGATATTATTTAGTAATTCATTCAACGATTGGATATTACATCATGAATTATAGAAAGAGAGGAAATTGTTTTTCAGTTTATAAAACGACAACAAAAATTTTTAATTATTAAAATAGGAAGAAAAAAATAAATATTATCACTCTTCTAATATTTATTTATCATTTTAACATCGTGTTTGAAAAAAAAAAAGGTTGAAACTAATACGGTGTAGCAAGATTGATAACCAACTATGTTTTTAGGTATGCGTAGGCATATAGCACATTTTACTCTTACATTGATTTTGTTAGTTTGAGAATTTAAAATTAAATAAGATTTTTTTTTTTATGTTAGAATATATTTGACACGTATATAATAAAAGATATTAAAATTATCAGTGCAAAATATAATTTTTTTAACGAATTTTTATATTGATTGAAATTCTATAGATATAGAAAGTAGCATGCTGACACTATGGTAAATAAAACAAGTTTTTTTATACTGATTCTAGATATAGAAAAATTAAAAAAAAAACTATTGTTTAGTGAAAGTTTTTTTTTTCAATTTATGAGTTTTTACCTTCTATAAATTAATTTGCAGTGGTTTTTGAACCTTCCACAATTAGAGTCCCAAGAAGATCTTTTATGATTTTTGGTATCAGAATTATGTTGCAAAAGTTTTTTCGCAAAGGATTTTAACTTTTTTTATTAGTGATTATTGTTTTGTAAAAGTTTCAAACCTCCTTTATTTTTAATTATTTTATTTCAAAAATTACCTTCGTTCTTTTCATTTTTTGGGATTTAATATTCTATTCATTGACAATTATATTCTAAGGGTTTTAACTTGTCTCACCTGTATTATTTAATTTATGGGTTTATTATTTTATTTTACTTACATTATTTTTACATGACAATGTATGTTATGCTTATATTTATATCAACAATATTTACTTGTAACAATATTTAGATACTTTAATGGACACAAAAGATATGACAAATTTTTTTTACCAAAGGTGTTTAAATATATATCATTAAAACATTTCATTTTTAAAATTATCATAATAACATAAAAGTAATTTAAATTAAAATGTAATTACAACTTATCTATAATTTCATAAAATCTATATTAGACTAAATATAGTTTTATCCTAAAAAAACATTATAAATTTCTTAAATATTGCTAACACCAAATGATTCTCTTGTACTAATAAGATACTAAGACTCATTTACCATCTTACTAAATAACAATAAAAAATATTAAAGCAAAATAGTCACTTTAATACAAGTATTTTGTTGCCTAGCATATCACATATTTAGAAGATCAAATATTTATTGTAATTACCTCTTCATAGGGTACTCTTCAAGAACATCATTTGTCAGACCTCAGAAATTTAACCCAAACCCCACCTGTTTAATCTCATTTAATGTGCCCAAAACCCTTTTCATATTCATTTAAAACACACCCAAAACTCTGCACACTGACGCCAGGTGTCAAGAATGGAAGATTCGAAAATCAGTAAGTGGAGGACAGGTATCCATAGGAGAGTGCACGTCCATTGGACGTGGGGTAGACAAAAATGATTTTCTGAACAACCTTGTTCACTCTCCTCTGCATGCACTTCTCATTCCCAACTCTGACTTTCCATTTCCTCCTCCTTCTCTCTAGAAATTCCCTTTCTCTCTCTACTGTAGCTCACTCTTCTCTGCTCCGATCACCGTTCAGGCACCGTAGAAGGATTCCTGGCGTCGTGAGCTTCATTCTGGACCGAACAGTTCCAGATTCTGAAACTGGTAAGTTTCTCTTCTTCGTCGAGCGTTCTTTTGTTACATGCAAGGGGTATAGTCTAAGTTATTCTTGATTTTATATGGTTAGATTTAGTTGGAAGAATTAAGTGATCTTTGAGGGTAGAAAGCTGTAGACGGGCGAACCCAAAATCTTACGTTTAGAACGTTTCACTCACTGATCGAGGTAAGGGAAGCTTATTTAATTTAATTGACATTTGTATGTTGTCTTACTGTATGAACGTCCGTTGTTTGAAGGAATGAATATGATGCATGCTGCTTGATATGTATGATGATGGTTGATATGTATGAATGTGAATATGAGTAATCATTTTGGAGTATGAATTATTAATGTGGAATTCTATAAAGTATGTAAATTGATATTTGATATGATTTATACGGTATGAACTGATATGTTAAACTTGAGTTGAAAATAGATGCATTCTGAATACTGAAATCTCATTATGATATGTACGTTCGATCGAACGTCCTCTACCGTTTCGTTTGTTTCTAGTAAACTTTTAAAATGGAACTCTTTCATTTGGAGAGAATTCTAGTCGAGAACGAGCTTCCATGTGGAAATACTATGTTTGCGGCGTTCAGTCTCACATAGTTTGTCCATGATCTCTGAAATAGAGTAATGCATCTATAATATACCCTCTCCTTTAGAATTAGTAGCGATCCGGTCTTACACCTAGCGTTCGTAATAAGTAGCGCTCGGTCTTACACCTAGCGTCCGTACTAAGTAGTGCTCGGTCTTATACCTAGCGCTCGTATTGAGTAGTGCTCGGTCTTAAATATCAAACGCTTCGTACTATTTATATTCAATATTGATAAAATACTTTCGTCCACGGAGAATACTTTCTTTTAACCATGTTCAGGTCATTTACTGGCCTTGGATTTCCGTATGTTAACTATTCTAAATATGGTCCTTAACATCTGAATAATTCTTCTTGCATTGGATCCGGCCTAGGCCTCCTACTTGAGTTATTTTATTAAGATTGGTTTGAAACATCAAGAGAGTCAAGTTTCATTCAACTGACTGACGTCGGTAAAATACCGTTCATCACATATTTGAACTATTTTACTCGTTTTCATTTCCGTAAATCCAAAAGTACTATCTTCGTCTTATTCCTGTTCTAACGGGAATCCATCGATCTCTTTATTATCGGTTCGTCTCGTTCTGAAGAGGCTTGAACGTTCATTAGTTTATGTCCTTGTAACTGATATGAATGATAATAAAGTGGAAGATTTGAACGGAGACAGTATATGAATGAATAAACGGTTTTGGTTTTTTGAAAGAGAGGTACAGGGAGGAAACGACTCAAGTATTGAATATTGGGGGGGGTGATTGGGTAAGTATTATTGTGGTTAGCTAATGCTTGCAGGAGTTCATCCTGATGTTCCATGAGTACTCGTCCGCACGTAGAGGGGGTAGGTCATGTGTGGAACGGCAGGAGGTCATAGTCTTAGGGGTACTTTGGATAGGGCTAACCTCGGGTGGCAGCTGTGAGTGTAGTCCAGTTACTAACATCACCCGGGTGCAATAACGCTTGTAGCTACACAGATTCATACAGTCCGGACGGTCCGTCTATGATAGTTTTCGTATCGTTATATATATGTTGAACTATTCTTGTGTTGTTGGAATGTTTAATTTATATGTTGATGTGTAAATTAAATTACATAAGCTTATCCTGCGTTTTTCCTTGTGTTGTCTCGTCCTTGTACGTCCGTCTTGTCATTGCAATGATCATCCGTGTGGATGTGAGCAGAAGGTGAATCAATGTTGGAAGACGTGATTGAAGAGGAGAATCTGGTGGACGTTGATGTCAAGGCCGAACCTTAGGTCGGTAGTATTACATGTTAGTTATTTTGTAAACGATCGTTCGATAATTGGTTTTGTAAAACCGTTCGATCCTGACTCTTTCTTATTTCTATAATATTGTAAATTAACTCTGCACTTAACGCCGTTCGGTTTTTGAACGTTGGTATTAGTGTAAGACTGCACTGATTGATTATGAAATGTAATTAATTCTATTATATGGTTTATAATTATTTTTTGGATGTTACTTCGTGGTATCAGAGCAGTTTGTTCTTTTAAGGACACTGTAGGTTTGAGTGTACTGTTTTTTGCCTGTTTGCTCACCTTTCGTTAATGAGTAACTCTTGAACCTCTTTAGACTTACTAACTATCGTTTTTTCTCTCTATTTCTCAGAGAACAAATGGCACCTAGACCCCCTCCTCCACCTCAACCCACCGAGCGCGATGCGTCCGACAACACAAGGTTGTTGGAATCGGTGATAGATAGGTTACAACAGCAGAACACTACATTGATGGAACAGAACGCGGCTGCCTTGTAGAGTTTGGAGGCCGCTCGCGCCAACTTTGAAGCTACACAAAGGCAGTTGATGGAGATTATTGCCGCTACTAGGAATACATCGGGAGCGTCCTCTTCCAACGTTACCCATCAGGCTGAGTGGAGCTTGGAAAGCTTCCTTCAACACCACCCAGCCAAATTCAGTGGGAAGTGCCTCCCTGATGAGGCAGATCAGTGGCTGCTTGATATGGAGAGAATTTATAATGCCAAGAGGTGCCCGGACGAAAATCGCTTGGCATTCACGGAGTATCTGCTAACCGGGGAAGCAAGCCACTGGTGGACGAGCATAAAGGCTATCTTGGCGGACGCTCAAAGTCCCATTTCCTGGGAAGTATTCAGGACTAAGTTTTATGAAGAATATTTTCCTGACAGCGTTCGTTTCGCCAAGGAAGTGGAGTTTTTACAGTTGGTACAAGGTGGGATGTCCGTCTCGGAGTACACCAGCAAGTTCAAATTAACTGGTTGTAAATTAAGTTAACCATAACTGAATATAACCTCTTTCATGTTATTTGGTTAACTGAAAACAGCTATAAAACATCTGAGCTCATGTGTAAAGAGTTGTATTCAATATGATCACATAAAGGGCAGTAATAATTATGCATATGGTTCTTCATTGTCTGCAATATGGTATTAATTATGAGGGGTAAATATAGAGTGAACTGAAATCGGTGAACTTGATTTGGCAGGGTGTCCCTTTACTATATGTTCCACTTTAGGCAATAATGTCTGAGTTCTATGGTAAAAGTGAACATCTTCTAGGGAAAGTGTTTTCGCTTGCAAACAATCTTCCTAATGATGCTATTATATTTCTGGATGAGCTAACAAAATGAGGAATGTTGATATAGAGTTGCTTTGTTTCACTTGTTGATTTTCTGGAAAAACTACTTTATGTATTGTTTGTGTTTTTACATTTTTGGATACAGATTGATTCTTTTTCTGCTGCACGTGACAATGAAATGCATGAAGCTACACGCAAAATATGGTCAGTCTTGTTGAGACAAGTTAATCTTGTTGGCTACTGCTTTATGATACATGTGATGGCGTGTTAATACCTTTTGTCTTTAGAAAAGGATTATGTGTTGGAGTTTTGAAGTTCTATTTTGTATTGAAGAGTTTCTAAAGACTTATTTTCAGTTTGTAAGTTTTATTTAGCATTATATTATATGTACTCGTCAAGATTGATTTATGATATGTTCTTTGATTTTTATTAATGATGCTCTTCTCATGTTTAATTTACGAGATGAAGTGTAGTTTTATTAATGCAATTTTACTAGTTAGTGCTGTAGTTGTTAGTGTTGTATAGTTAGTGCAGTTCTTGGTTAAAATTAGTATAATTCAGTTCAAAATTAGTATAGTTAGTAGTTCAGTTCAGTTTATAGTGTAGTTTAGTACAGTTAAGTATAGTTCAGTTCAGTACAGTTTAATAAAACAAAAGCAGTTCAATTCAGTTTTTCTGAACTATTTTTTAGTGCAGTTTAGTTTTTCTGAACTAGTTTTTAGTTCAATACAGTTTTTAGTACTGCAGTGCAGTTTAGTTTGATTTGCCCACCCCTAGCTAACATTCTCTCACTTGGTCCATTTATCCAATTATTAACCACAACAAGTGACAAAATATATATGAGTCATGGCGATAGGTCCTCGGATAGTGAGTGTTACCTTCCATGTACCTCAATATATATTTCTCTCAACATTAGCTCTCAACTTAATGCATAAACCATATGTTTATGCTATATCAAAACTAAATGATATCTTCTCAAAATAAATGTGCACAAAAACATATGAGAAAAACATCAAACTGAATAAGAGTTTCATTGAAAATAATAAATGTACTGATAATGAAATTACATCGTGGAACCAAGTCCCATTTGCACTACATGATCCTTACAATTCTTTGGTGGCATGCCTTTATTTAAAGGATCAACAATCATCAATTCAATGCTTATGTGTTCAATGACACTTTCTTTTCCTTAACACGTTCTCTGATGGCTAAGTATTTGATGTCAATGTGCTTACTTCGACATCCACTTTTATTGTTCTTAGCCATAAACACCACAGCAGATTTGTCACAGTACAACTTTAATGGCCTAGAAATAGAGTCCACAACTCTAAGCCCAGAAATGAAACTCTTTAACCATACACCATGCGAGGTAGCCTCAAAACAAGAAACTAACTCATCTTCCATAGTAGAAGTTGCAGTTAATGTCTGCTTGTCACTTCTCCAAGATACATCTCCACCAGCTAACATAAAAATATAACCAGATGTTGATTTTCGTGAATCAACGCAGCCAGCATAGTCTGAATCGGAGTAGCCAATCACTTTCAAACATTCAGTTTGTCTATATATAAGCATGTAATCTTTTGTCCCTTGAAGATATCTCATTACCTTCTTTGCAGCTTTCTAGTGGTCAACACCTGGATTACTCTGATATCTTCCCAAAACTCCAACAACATATGTAATGTCAAGTCTAGTGCAAACCTGAGCATACATAAGGCTTCCAATAACTGAAGCATATGGAATATTCTTCATGTGTTCCCGCTCAAAATCATTTTTCGGACATTGATTCAAATTGAGTTTATCACCCTTCACGATGGGAGCTACACTTGGTGAACAATTCTTCATGTTAAACCTCTCTAAAACTTTGTTGATATAGGTCTCTTTAGACAAACCCAAAATGCCTCGAGATCTTTCCCTATGGATCTTAATGCTAATGACATAAGTGTCTCTCCCATATCCTTCATGTCAAAGTTCGTCGAGAAAAATTGTTTCACTTCATATAGCAAACCCTTATCATTGGTTGCAAGCAAAATATCATCCACATATAATACAAGAAAACAAATCTTACTCCCACTGACCTTTTGGTATATACATTGATCCATGACGTTTTCTTCAAAATCGAATGACGTGATAACATCATGAAATTTTAGATGCCATTGGTGGGAGGCTTGTTTTAATCCATAGATGGATTTATTAAGCTTGCAAACTAAGTGCTCATTATCTTTAGAAGAGAATCCTTCAGGTTGTTTCATGTAAACCTCTTCTTCCAGATGACCATTAAGGAATGTTGTTTTCACATCCATTTGATGTAACTCAATCAAAATGAGCTACTAATGCCATATTACTCGGAAAGAAGCTTTCTTAGATACTGGAGAAAAGGTCATTGTGTAGTCAATTCCTTCTCTCTCAATGAACCCTTTGGCAACAAGTCTCGCCTTATGTCTCTCAATGTTGCCTTTTGAGTCTTTCTTGGTTTTAAAGACCCATTTACATCCAATGGATTTTACACCATTAGGGAACTAAACGAGATCCCAAACTTTGTTGGATGCCATAGAATCCATCTCATCTTTCATGGCGTCATACCATAGGTCTGATTCTTTAGAACTCATTTTTTTTGAAAACTTTTCAGGATCATTTGCAGCTCCAATATTGTAGTCAACTTCTTGCAAATACACTACATAATCACTAGGAATTGCTGGCCTTTTAACTCTAGTAGATCTTCTTAATGTTGCATCATCATTTTCTTGAGAAAATTGTTGCTCAAGCAACTGTTCAGTAGGTTGTTCAACATCATCTTGTTGTTCCTCATTAGCAACTTGATTTGTAAGGTCATTTTCAGCAGGTTGTGAAGCTTCATTTATTGTTTTTCTAACACCCATTTGCGTTTGAGGGGTGTGAATGACAATAAATCTATCACTTGAGCTAGAGGGTTGAGCTTCATAGTGATCCCTTTCATTCCCAATGTTTAGAAACCGACCACTCCCACTTACTAAGTCATTCTCAAGAAATTTTTCATTTCTTGACTCCACAATCCTAGTGTTATGCGATGGACAATAGAATCTATATCCCTTAGACTTTTCAGCATATCCAATGAAATACCCACTAATAGTCCTTGGGTCTAGTTTCTTCTCTTGTGGATTATAAACTCTCACATCAGACGGACACCCCCAAACACGTATATGTCGCAAACTTGGTTTCCAACCTTTGAATAACTCAAACAGTGTCTTTAAGACGACCTTGGTTGGGACTCGGTTTAATAT